CTGACAAATACCAAAAGTTGGCTATAATTATCAAACATCAGTTGACTCATCCAGTTGCATGCTTATTTTTAGTGGACTGATTTTTCGTGTCTTCAATTACTTGCATTAAAATATCTTCACTGAGATCTTGTATTCGCGATCGTATAATATCATTCGATAATGGATGGAATCTGTTGGATTTTTTTATGTGCTTCCGAATCTAAAACTGTTTTAGCAATAATTAAAGCAGAAGGTTTAATCAACTCTTCAGCGATCTCGTGTGAGGTTTTTTTCTTTTTTTTTTCTTTTTTTTTTTTCACATAAATATGCCACTTGATATGACGCTTCTAATAAAGGTTTTTGAATTGCTGGTCCGCACAATTTTAGGATAGTTCCACTGGTATCAAACCGAGCCTTCTTTGACTTCAAGCTGTTTCATGCTATGCGCTTTTTCGCCACCATGCAGATTGTTGAAATGCTCTAATAACTTTGATGGTTTGAGATTGCTGTTTGAAATATCTTGGAACACAAGATGCGTTGCGGTCGTTGCGTGCCATCTTTTTCGGTTGTGCAGGTAAATCCATAACCGGCATACTTATCGTTCCATTGTCGTTTTTTTTTTTTTTTTTTTTTTGACATAGTGGGGTTCACTATAATCGATTTAATTATTTAGAAATAATGTAATATAATATATATAATGTTCTTACGTTTGTAATATCACTGAATCCTATTCGGCTTGAACGGGCAATTAAGAATGTATTAGTCTCAAGAGGTTTCTGGACAAGTCAGAATACACAATACACATGTCGCAGACACAATAGTTGACTCAACCTAACACAGGCGCAGTAGATGCAGATACAAATCTGTGAATCCGTAGATTCCATTGGAGTAGCACATATTGAACTCAGCGCATGCGCAAGCTGGGATAACGTTCTCCGCTTGTATTCCCACAAAGTTTTTTTTCTTTTCTCCGTCACCTAGCTGCCTTTGCGTTCGTTTGTAGCGTTTCATGCCTTTTCGTAGCGTAGTGTATACGCCCATCGGCACCGGCTCTTTCCTGAGCTAGGTGCTACCAATTTCTATGAGCTTCAATATTGGGGAAACCATTGCAGATTTCAAATATTTATTATAAAATTTAATAATAATATTTAAAATTTTGGTTAGGTAGGGGCTTCTCCCGACCCCCCAAAATACATTCCCGCACCCCACCCCCCGGTTAAGAACCCCTGTGTTAGAGCACCTCTGAAAACAGCAATGGTTCCTTTTTGTATCATCGAGAAAATTTTTCCCACTTTTTTTTCCCTTTTTTTCCTCCGCCTATTGTGACATTGATAGGGAGATCTGCTTCTCTCAGTTCAACCACTTTTGTGAAAAAATATGCACCTCTAGCACTTTTCACAAGCACAGTTTTAAGAAAAAATAAACACCTGTCTAATTACATATACCCACTACATAATCTTAAAAATAGACTCGTATTTAAAATAGAAATGCATTTTTTAAGAGAAATAAGCATACTCCCATGAAAATAATAATTTTTTTTTTAAATTTGAAATACAGTTCATTTACAGAACTATTTACAATGAGAGAAAAAAAAACTATGCAGAACTAAACTATTTACAAGATTTAATGAGAAATTTCATTCAAATAGAGGAAATAATAAAATAAGATATTATTCTAACCCGCTTGGAACTAAATGGTTTTTTTTGTGTAGTGAATATTGGTTATGTAACTAAATTCTGAAAACATTTTCTAAATTTTTTTTATTTAGTTTTTTTAACAGTTTGTGGTGTAATTTTAGTAAAAAAAATGGAACATTCTGAAGATCAGGTTTGTTTGCTTCAATGTGTTTCCTTTAAACAGTTTGTTACTTGAAAATTGGGTTATTTGGGTGTGGCAATGAACTTTGTTTTTGCGGAGGGGGTAACAGAACTTAGTGTTCCTTTGCTTTTTTCACTAAATAAATATTTTGTTTCGGTATGTGCATTTATGAACAAACCACGGGGGAAAAATATTCTGCTTAGCAAGACAGTTGTTTTAGTGTTTGGTGGTGGGAACATTTAATTATCTCTGGTGGTTGTTAATTGTTTACGTGCATGTAATTCTTCCCTCCACATTATTACGCATCGGATTCAACAGCTGCCTGGTATGCAAAATAAAGAACTAAATAAAGGAAAAGAATGCACGCAATCTGGGGAATGTTTTTTCAATCTAATTTTTCAACAGACTGTCATTAATTATTTCCGGAATAGAATCATTCCAAAATATCTGCTTTGTGTTCGGTATACTGCAGAACATTTTTAGTCCCCTACTGCAGAAATCCAGATTGGAAAGTGACCAAAAAAAAAAAAAAAAGTCCGTTGCTTGTTTTGCAGCGAACTGTACAGTTTCATATTCGAGATTTTGCGCAGAAAGGGGAGAACCTTCTCCCTTTGTACTGTATAAGTATTGGCCCAAAAAAAATGAAATTATTTTGCTATTCGATTACTTTCCCTTTATTCAAGTCATTCCGATATTAGTAATTAGAAAGCTAATCTGTGTTAAACACCCATTTTTGGAAGTTACTATACTTCAGCAGTTACCCAACTATGTTATTCATAAACATTCATACATATTAAGACCAATAAAACCGAATAAAACGAATCCAGAAGTCAAACAACAAAAACAGCGTTAATTACAAAATTTTCACAGTACTCGTTTCGATGGTTTACGGAACCATCATCTTCAGCTGCACAACCGCAAAGAACAAGATATGATTCCTGCCAGTGCGGTTTAATTTACATTGGGCCAACTAAGAGAGCCTTAAATTTCGCGTCAAAGAACATGAGGCTATGTTAGAAAAAGGAAACACAGAAGTCTTCGTTGCAACATTGTTGGTCAAAATCACACTTTCAATTTTCTGCTGCAAAATTATTCAAAAAACATCTTTCCATTGGAGAACTGGATTTTCTAGAGGCATTCACATCAAAATCTTTGTTCTAGTTAACGATCCTAATTCCAATCCAATTTGCCTTCGGCTTTTAAGAAATTATGTTTAGTTCTGGTTTCGTCAAAGATGGCGCCACTTGCTTATTCTTGTCCGGCTTTCTATCTTTCTAAACATTATTTCCTATCTTTTCATTTGCGGTTTGCAGTGAAGATGCTGTTCGGAAAAACCATTCGAAACTAGTCCTGTGAAAATTTTGTAATTAACGCTGATTTTTGTGTTTGACTTCGATTAGTATCATACTATGCTAGAATATGCATAACGATCATATATAACACGAATATGAACTGACGAAGTGAACAGAATGCAAATTTTAAGATCTTGATAAATTCAAACGTGTGTAGTATTTTGGGTGGGAGAAAAGAATTCGAATACCGGAATTTTTACTACTGCTTTTGCAATTTTGACCAACAGAAACGGGAACCTGTCCGACTCTCCGCGCACACCAAGGTTATGTTAATACAGAGAAAGGGGAAAAGCTATTTCCAGAGTATGATTATCCATTTGACATTCCTATTAGAAGAAAGTTTATTTAGTTTCCTTTGGTACGGGAAAATTGTGCGTTCATTTAAAAAAAAGCACTAAAAGCAAAAAATAAGCACTAAAAACAAAAAAATAAGTGCGTTAAAGAAAAAGTAAGCACCTATAAGGGTCTTTATATTTTATTTTCAAATTTAAGGACTTATAAGCACTTATAAGGATTGCTACGAACCCTGTGGAGAGGACAACAGAGACTTTCAGACCGTCAACTGATGATACAACAACTGCTCATACCATTCACGTTATGACAGACTTACTAAAACCCGTGAAAGTGATAATTTATCTGTAGTTTGAGTTTTACTCATAAGTTGTTTAAAAGTGTAGAGTGTTGAAAATGGCCAAAAATGTTAGACATTTTTGTTTTTAACATTGGCAACAGTAAAGCATTTAAAAAAAAAAAAAAGAAAGAAAAAGAAACAGTTGGCATCGACTGTAATTCCTTTAGTATCGTCTGTGATTTGGTATAGGTATGCTGTGTTTTTGTAGCTACATTTGTTTTTGTGTTCGTTGTAAGAATTGTGAAAATAAAAGTGTTTTCTACAAAAATTAGTCTGCAAGTACTGTTACGACTGATTTTTTTACCTATTACTGATGACTTTCAGATACTGATGATTTTCTACATATTAAGCTTCTCCTGGAATTTCAGTGTTTTCAAAGAAAAATGGGTAAGTGAAACTTTTTTTCTAAATTTTGAACTTTAGAGCTTTTGAATTTTAAACTTTTGAAATGAAAAATTTAATTATAATTTTTCACCAGAAGCAGCATTAAAAAGCAAAACTGAAGGAAATGTCTTCAGAGGAAAATGAAGGAAGAAAACATTATCCTAGTTTTTCAATTGGTGATATTTTTGCAAAGCAGGGCAAGATTCAGAGTTTTCAGTTAATGATAAAACATGATTAAAAAAAAATGCAAACTACAGCATATGCATTTTCAATGACTACGGCATGTGTCACTTTAGGAACATTTTAAAATGAGTCTCAATCAGATTCTAATGACACTAGAAGATGAAAATAGATGCATCATGAAGATTGTTCCCTACTGTTTTTATTGAAATGGACTCCCCAACCAAAACACTTAACCTCTTTTCCCCTCCTCCATTTATGTCATTCACTCCCCTTCATAGAGGTGCAGTAAAATTAAATTTTAAGTTCTCTTCCCTTCTTCATCATTTGCCATTTACATCATTCACTCCCTTTCATACAGGTACAGTAAAATAAGTTCCTCTTACATATGCCTCTTACATGCAGTCTCTTCAGGGCTTCTCAGGAAAACAATACTTCAGGGCAAAACAATATTTTCGACTTTCTGCTGTAGATAAAAAGACATTTACAAAAACTGTACTCATATTTTTTCATCCCCCCCAAAAAAAATCTGCTGTGAAGCAATAAATATTCACTTATTAAAAATAGCAAAATTCTCAAGAGTTAACAATTTTAATTATGCATTTAATTTTATTACATTTCATTTGCATTTTTTAAATAAAATACAGGTGTATTATAAAATTCTTAAAACTGTTAAACACATATTTCATATTTTCCTATAAATTTTTTGAAAGCTTTTAAGTATAATCCCCCCTGCTTACATATTAGTCTTGGCTGAAGGATTTGAGAGATTCTAAATTGTTTTAGGATTAGTGGGATAAAAAACAGTAGATATATTAAAATAAAAATGAATTAACACACTTTTTCTTCTGCTTCCTCTGTAGCTGTTCCATGTTCAGCATCATATTCCTGAAGGACACCATCTAAATTAAACCTTCTACGATAATTTACGAAGAAACTCTTAATGTTTGCTTCTGTCTTATTTCCCACAACTTCAGCTACAGCCTTGAAATCTCGTCCATATTTTCTAACACCTAATTATGAGAAAATAAGAACAGTTAACTGATTACAAAAAATTGCAGTGACATTAGATTAGAAAAGGAATATAAATTTAATTGACTTCGATTAAAAAATCAGGTAGAATTAGTTCCACAAATTTAAAAAGAAAACTAACCTTGGACAGCTAATAGCAATTCGTCGCTATTCCATCTTGTATTAACACGAGTTGAACCCTGAAATAATAATTCTTCATAAAACTACTGCTAATGAATTAAAAATATCACATACATGAAACAGGTGAAATTCTAAGTACATAAAATGATTAAGAAGTCACAGAGACTTTCCAAATGTTTCGGTTGCTGGCAATGTATCTATCATCCATTTACCCAGAATGAGACTCTACATCTGGTAATACAGTCAAAAGTCTTTAATCCGGACCGCGGACGGCGGCAGGCCGAATTGCAGGGTTTCAGGAGAAGAGCATCAATTTAATCTGTGAATGGCATGCCAAAATAAAAATTAAGATATGAACTGTAATTTAGGATAAAGGCATTATGATCTAAAAGTATCAAAATTTACAAAAAAAAAAAAAAAAAAGGGGGGCTCAATATTATTTGTTTACTTATTACAATTCTTTCTTACTCATAGTCGAAATTAGAAATTGCAACCAGAAAACTATTTGAGTGTATTCGTGAGTTATGACGAGAATTTGATTTAAATCATATCAAAGACATGGCCATCGAAACTGCTTTCGTTGTAGATCCTTTGGCAGCTCCAGATCGGAAATTCTTTTTGACATAATCGAAAGTTAAAGCTTACTTTTATAAAATTGCTCTAACAGTCTTAAAAAAATAATAAGCCGGATCCAATTCGAAAATTAAGGAACAACGCAATCTGCAACATTAACTGAAATAGATAATTAGTTAATTTTAGCCTAGCTTATACTGTCTGTTATACATTAAACGTGCATGCGTAAATGTATTATGTGCATGCGTAAACGCATATGTGCATGCATAAAGGTATTACGAGCATGAGTAAATGCATTATGCGTTACACATGCGCAGAAAGTTTGTAGCTTTGAGGTCCGGATTATGGATCATTCTGGATTATGGACGTCCGGATTAAAGACTTTTGACTGTATATCATAACTATCAACCTCAAATTAAGAAAAACTAGGAGGTGTCTGTACTACACTGTGATATAGCTTGAGAAAGATTCTATCTTTCACAATGCGTCATTCAGTTTAGAAAGCTAATTACAGCATGATTCTGGGGTAAAATATACAAACTTAATCAAGTTTGGGCTTTAATTTGCCACCACCCATTAAAAAAAATATTAGCCATGACCGATATAAATACATCAGGGTGAATGTTTCCACATACTTTCTGAATATGGGGGGGGTGGGAATAGTGCCATCACTGTTTGATTGTTTCTGCTACATATGCAGAAAGGAAATGGAAGCCCCTGATGAATGTTATCAAAGACCAAAATTGTGATAAATCCGAATCCATACTTATTTAAACCATGGGTTCCATCAACACAAATACAATCCTTTCCAAATTTTTCTAGTAATCCTAAGCATCTTTCATAACTGTCAGAACAAAATCTTCAAAGTTAAGCTCAGGGTGCATGTCACTTAGATGTCCTTGTGGTTTGTAAAACAGCATACAAGAATTTTCTGTATGCTGCATTTCACGAACCCACGCTTACTGCATCATCTGCTTGTCTCACAAATTACAGACTGATTTGAAATTCAATATTATGTAAATTATGGTGAGTGATTAGATGCATACATGTCTGATCTCCTTCAATAGAATAACGAGATTCACTTAAAATCCTTTTGAAATGAATACTTGCAGCAATCTTGGAAGCTAAATACATTCTATCTTCCTTTGAAAGAAACATACATCCAACATGTGTTTTTAAGTATTGGACACAGCACTTTCCATCAGTTTTGATCACAGTAATACTTGATAAAACGCATTTATATATATTTTTTTACTCTGGTAGTTTTGATGTATAAACACCAGAACGATGACATACAAGAAAAGTGGTGGGTATTCGAATTTCCTTTTTGGGCACCACATTTGCATATAAAACTGCATTTTGTCTTGGTTTTGATGCTTTTTTCCATACAGTAAATTCTTGAAAAGAAGGGAACTGCAAATCTTTAGTTACACATATATCATGGACGTTTTCAATATGTTTCAGCAATTCTGCCTTTGTAGATGTAAAACCACGTTACAGGCACTTCTTATAACTGTTACCATCTTCTGCAAGTTTAATTACTTAACTTTTACCATGTTCTGTACGTTCATGTACATAAAGTAGGTTTTAAAAAAACTTTATCACAATCATCACATGTAAATTTGTGAACATTTCTAAATGTAGGAGCTAATTCCTCTTTTTTCAAAGGATGGCACTTAAGTCAGTAATCCGGACTCGTTGGGAGTTCGGCGATTCCAAATCAGGGGTTTTTCCGGATTATAGATCCTCAATTTAAATCTGGTATACATGCAGAAATTATACAATTAAAAATATGAAACCATAATTTATGAAATAAAGAACAATTATGATCTAAAGGTATCAACTTACAAAAAAAAAAAAAAAAAAAAGCTTAATATTTATTGTTTCTTTATTACATTTCTTTCAATGTAAGTTGTTTAAGTTGCTTTGTTTTTTGTGCTAATACTTTCTCTTTAATTCTATAAACAGACATTAATTTCTGTTCTTACAAAGTTCCACTGTTCAAGTCCTGTAATTGCTGTGTCGAAAATACCGACTAACTTGTCAATCAAAATTTTTTTGTTTTCAATAACTTCTCTGTCACTTTCTATCGGAAGCATGCATGGGTAAACGCTTTATGTGCATGCATAGTGGACGCGCACGTTTCCCGCATATGCGTAAATGTTTTACGCCCATGCGTAAGTTTGTGGCTTTGAGCTCCGGATTATAGATCATTCCGAATAATGGATGTCCGGATTAAGGACTTTGTACTGTAATATGCGTCCGTAGATTTTATTGGAATGAATAGGTCTTCGAACATTCCAAGCATACAAAATTACCTTTCATATTAATTACGTTAAATATAAGAAATCAGTAAACTGATAATTCAGGGTAACTTCTGCGAAGTGACAAAATTTAGCGGAATAACATATCTTTAGTTGCCAATCTCATGATACATCACCAATTCTGTATAGCGGACGCTAGCCAATAATGCCAACAAAGCTTGTCATTGTTCATGTGTGAAGCATAAACCATGCCAGGGCTAAACACTACTTAAAAATATAACAATGATTAAACTGCATATATTAACTGCTTGCCTGATTATCCCGAGTTATTTCTGGTTCGTATATTGCAGTTAATTATTATCCTGAGAAATCTCAGGCAAAGTAGAATTTGTCAGTAATGATTTGTTTTACCATGGTTTTACTCGGCTTGGAGGAAATGAAAGGAATATTCAGCTTTGATTGCAGTTTGCCAAGTTTTGCTGGTTTCTTCTTTTTCTTTTCTTCCCCCCCCCATTTTTTCTGCGAGACTGGTCACGTGTTTTCCCTATTGTATAGTATGCATCGGTTTGAGGATTAGTAATGTATAAAGAAGGGTAGCTGTGTTGAAAAAAAGTAAAATAATAGCAATGATGCAAATTAGTGAAAGCGATGATTTATCAGATAGTGATTATAACCTCAAGGCATTTCCTAGATGTTATTCCTGCTACTGAAAAAAAGCAAATCCAATGAGATGGTGCACTCTATGCTCCCATTAAAGAGATTCCAGAGGTAAGCCAGTAAGAAAAGAGACCAGATACCAGTTTAGAGAATGTCAGGTATCACTTTGTGTTGTCCCTTGTTTGAAAAACTATCATACAAAGATTAATATTTAACTTTTTTTTAATTTGCCTGAGATAACTCGGGATAGTAAACTAATATTAAAACTAAATGCTTTTACAAACCTGTAAAAAATTAAAAAATTAAATTATATATAGATATAGAGAGAGAGAGGAGGTTTCATTTCCTAGAGGGAAAGAAAAATTTATTATTCTAAAAAATTGATCCTAGGATTAATAATTTAATAATAAAAAAAAATGTGATAATTTTTTTAAAAAAAATTTGTAAGGGAAGCGGTTAACAACCTGTGTATATGTGTGGCATTTGCTTTATGCTTTCAGGGCACGAACACTGCTCTTCACAATGGTGTTTGCTGTTTTCTAATAGGAGAGTTTATTTTTATCTGGATATAGATAAAGGACTCACTCTGAAACCACAGAGTTATTTTATTACTAAACAATACATGCATTAGCCCCATGAAAATGTCTTTCATTTCCAAAGATTTTTCTCTGAGCTCAACACACTTGCTTCCTGTGTTAGTATTGTGATTTTATAAATTATTTTGTATGGTTTAAATATAATTTAAATATATTTTTCTACAGTTAAAAATACAAACATGTAAAAGGTTTATTTAAATTAAAAATATTTTATAATTTTTTTATTGTCGAGATTTAAAATGCCTCACAGAGGGCTAGAAATAGCCGATGCACTGGCTTTACTTGAAGAATTACCTTCAGGTGCCAGACAAAAAGAGACTAATGAACACAGAACATATGCCAGTAAAATGCTAACTTTGAAATAATTAAATCTCAAATCATCATGAATACCCAAAGAAGAATAATCTCTGAGTTTTTAAAAGTAAATTTAATATAAAAGTTTAATTCTCAGATAATTCTTCAATAGCATGAACAAACAGCATGCATGTCACAACAGTTAATGTCAGCATTAATCAGTAAAAGGAATTTATAAACTTTTTAAATAATAATGTTAATGAAAAAGTTGCCGATTTTCCAAATGAATATTGGCAAAAACTGTATTGAAGTTATCGTTTTTAGCAATCTGTGAACTCCATTCTAGTTAACCTTTTGACAGGTGACAGCTGCCTAAGGCAAAATACAGGTGATAAATTTTTGTGTTCTTTTTATATAAAATTACTTTATTATCAATATTATAAAATAAAGTGGGGAATTTATCTAAAATTCAAAACAATATCATAAAAAAATTCAATAAAATATCAGACTGCTGAGTTTTTACATTCCATATTGCTTATGTATAACCTACGAGTAACTTGTAAATAAACGGCGCGACATAGGACATTTATTTTCTTTATTAACGTTCTTAAATCTATTTGTGCAAAATCTTATGTAAAATGTTTTGCTCAGATGAAAAAAGCCTGCGATTAATCTTAGATGGTACATTAAAAGTAAGAAACATGGCTTCAAAATGAATTCTATCATACCTCGGGGGGACGAAACATGTCAATGCCACCTGCCATTTTATGCTTCAACTGGCTGATAATTTGCTTGTTATTCTGTACCTAAAATAATGAATGTAATAAATCAGCAAGGCTCATATCTACATTAAAAATCCATAACTGATAATATAGCTAGAGACAGCTCTGTGCACACTAACCTGCCTTTTAAAAGATATTATTTCACAATCCATACTTCGTAAAATAGCATCTCCTTCTCCACTTGGACCAGCTACTATAGCAGTTAAATCCTCATAACTAAGATGCATGCCTCGTGGAGGCTTTCTCTTACTTCGTGCTATACTGTGACGAGCTGATGTTCTCATATTACCTGAACTGCTACGGAGAGTTCCTGTTCGTCTATAAAATAATTAATTTTTTACGATAAAATGAAATTAATCAAATCATTGTTAATAAACTGTTTGCAGTGGAAGCACAAGTTTTACATCACCAAAATGTTCACATTAAAAAAATTAAAATTTTCTAAATTAATATTTAACTGCCAGTGGTTAGCCCCTGCCAAAAAAACCCCTAAAACTCAGTTATTATGCCAGTTGATGTCTTTCCTTCATAATCTTTTGGCAGGATATGGCATTAACTTTTCTAAAAAACAAAACCACTGTAACATGAATCTTTGATTCATCTGAAGGAACTGATTTTTTTTTAAATAAAATTCTGAATAAGACATAAAAGTTAAGATTAGGACTAAAGTTTTAAAAATGCAATTCTCACCAATTTATGCTAGCTAAAAAGTGCATTTAAATACTAGTTTGTAAATAGACATATGCTCTTCACATAAGTTACTTCCTTGACACTAGCTCACACTTACACACAATGTTAATGAATATGTTCTGAAACTTTAGAATGATATTTTTAAAGAAGCTACCAGCATTAAAAGATTTTACATGTTGCACATATTTCTGAGAAACATGTTTTTCACAAAATATTCATAAATTCATAAATTGTCGAAAAGTGTATACATAACTAATTAAACACTATCCTCATATTGTCATCACTTTCACAATTTATTTTTTAAGTGGCATTACATGTCTACTTTTAAGGCTTAAACCACTGCACAAAAACAGACTACTTAATTCAATAATAAGTCTCTTACACATACAAATGTAATAAGCTTTTCAACTAAAATCAACACTAAAATAAAACTGAATTTTACTCAATTTCAATACTGTGTCTGATTAACAGCCAGTTAGACAGAATATTTATATGAATGAAACTTACTTAAAATACTGACAACAGTTATTACACAGGTTTCCTTTTGGCGAACTATACACCTGTCCTGAGACAGAGCAATTTGCACAACTACCTCGGGTTGATTCTGGTCTCTGTTAAGGAATAAATAAATTAAAAAAGATATAATATAGACACATAAAGAAAAAATTACACTGAAATCAACATAATATTTAAGAATCTGATAAAAATATTTCCTTACATTATCTTTATCTGGATCCATATCGCTTTCATTATCTGATGGTGCTTCAGAACCACTGAAAAAAAAAATTAGAAAGACAAATCTTAAAAGCATAAAATATCAAAATTAATTTCAGGTTAATTACATTATTTTTTAAAATGAGAGAAACTAATTATTTTAAACCAAATATGTAGCAATATATGAAATTCATAGAAAATTAAAATAATCTAAATTAAGTTTATTATATAATGTGCAAATCTTTGTTAAGGAGTGAAGAAACATCTGAAGCAAAACACCAGCTGTGTAAAAAAAACCTTTGTGCATGCCAGCCACAAGCAGTGTTGTTTGGGTTTCTGTAAGATACAGACACAGTATTAAATAAAAGTGTGATACAGTTCTAAATGAGTGAGCTTAGTTTACATCAACCATTTCTTTTGAGTAAGGTAACATGAACTATCAATGAATGTTTGCTTATTGAAAATACTTTTTGTGATCAGTTTTTATAAAAAACAATTTCACAACTTCAAAAGGATTGGGGAGGGGGATTTTCAGAACAAGAAAATTTCAAAATACAAGCTGTTTAAGGATTACTTATTTCTTTTTTTAAAATATTGATCCCAGATGTACACTGCGCAAAAAAAGAAAAGGGGGGAGCAGTTCTATTTCTCCCATTCTACTGGGCCGATTGACAAAATTCAAATAGCGTTTTTCATTCTTGAAAGCGTGACTTAGGATATATACTCGATTTATATATAACATCATTCTAACATAGGTATTTTGACACAAAATCGGACCTTTTTCTGAAATAATATACCATTTTTGTTTTTACGTATTTCGTTTCTACGACTCAAATTATGCCTAAATATTAGATTTTGTAAAATCTGGTGTGAAATTTACGGAGAAATTCAAAAATTTACATTGACACTCTTTTTCAGTTTGCGCAAAGAACAGTTCACTTGGCGAACTTCTTAATATATTGTGATGACTTCGTGGTTCAACAAGGCACCATTTAACAATACGAAACAAACATTTATTAGGAAAATGTGTGATTCAAAGCATAATAGTGAACTCAGAGCAGTATGTCGCTCCTAGAGCATAGTACAATCTACAACCTTCCTCTTCCGAGGCTAACATGCAACTCCCTTCAAATACATCAACCCTTCTTGGAGAAGAGCTACATGCGCCAAGCACGCTCTGTTGATTGCCATACAGTCGCCAGATATCACAACCCCGTCATAAGATTGTTATTGATGTTATTTACAAATCAATCAGCAATCTGGAAACTAAAATCTAGCAACTGTTTGCGATCAACGAGAAAAAGAAAAAAAAAAAAAAAAAAAACTACATATACATTTATACATTCTACCCTAATATTCAAACCTCAATTATTATAGACATTTGCAACATAATACCTACAATTGCACATCAATTTAACATAAACATAGATAACACATTTTTAACTTCACTCGTTCCAAACATTATTATTATTATAACAATTTATCAATTCTTAACCCAAAGAAACCAAGTTGATAATTTTTCTTTTATAAACATGTTAAAATATGCCTTAGTATTATTCCAATGATGACAGTAAAATTATTAAGCTTCTTATATATATCTTAACATTCTTTTTAATTAATGATGCTGCAGCATATTTATATCCTTGGGAGACAAATATCTAAATTTACCACTTACCTCGAATATTTGTTATCCAATAATTTTTCTATCTATTTCAAATTACATAAACATCTTATTTGCACACAATTGTAAAATTATTAAGAAAAGCAAAGAAAAACTACTCTAATCATTAATTATATAAAATGTTCGTGAAGATGAACAGTAAATTGAATGTTCAAAGTTCACAGGTGGGGAGTCTGGATAATGCGTCTGCGTTCGACAGTTTTTTTCCAGGGCAATGTTCTGTTTCGAAGATTATATTTTCTGCAAAGCTCTGGCCCATCGCTTGCGCCATATGATGCGTTGCAATTTGGAACGATTGCGGAGCATTTCTCACTATAAAGGCTAGAAAGGATTATGATCAGTCACAATTTTCACCGATGAACCGAATATCCAAGGTTCGAACATCTTCAATGCTTATACTATAAGCATAAGCTTCACGCTCTTATAGTCGGCCAGCTTCTGTTGAGGTTTCGATAATTTCTTGCTCGCGTAGCACACAGGAAATTGTTTCTCTCCCCTTAGCTGTGATAAACATGCACCTATTCCGATTTGGGATGCATCAGAATGAATGACAAACAGATCCTGCAGTGTTGGGGTGATCAACTCCGTTGACATTGCTAATCATTCCTTCAGTTGTTGAAATGTTGACTCATGAATTTCTTTCCATTCGAGTATTTCCGGTTGTTTATTTTTCATGAGTTCCGTGAGTGGGTAGGCAATCTCTGCATATCCTGGGATATAATCGCGATAATCATTACATAATCCTAACAGACTTTTAAGATCTCTTTTCGTTTTAGGTGTTTCCAGCATCTTGATTACCTCAATTTTCTCGGGATCTGGTTAATGTCTTCCTGATCCAATAATGTGTCCTAAATATTTAATTTGAGGTTTTGCAAACGAACATTTCTTCGAACTGATAGTAAATCCAAGTGACTCTAGTTTGGTGAAAACTTTATCCAGATGTTGGAGATGATTGTCGAAATCCGTGGAAAATATAGCTATGTCGTCAATATAGGCTCTTGAAAATTGCTGAAATTCTTTCAGCACGTTATTCATTACTCTCTGAAAAGTTGCTGCTACGTTTCTTAGTCCAAAGGGTAGCACTTAACTGATATTGACCTCGATGAGTTTTGAAGGATGTACTTTGTTACTCTTTACTTTGTTCCTCCATGGGAATTGCCCAATATCCTTTCAGTAAATTCAAAGTTGTTATGACGTTGGCTCTTCCTATACTGTACATTAAATCAATGGCGTTCTGCATAGAAAAGTCATCTGGCTTCGTCACTGCATTCAAAGCTCGATAATCTAAACACAATCTGATACTTCCATCTTTTCTGCTTACACAAACTACTGGATGGGCTATTTCTGCATTACTTTCTTCTATTAGTCCCGATTTCAATAATTCTTCTACTTCTTCATCGACCTTGGTTTTCAATGCTTCAGGAATCCTATAAATGCAAGGCTTCTTCCTCTCCATATTGGGTATTAATCTAATTTTATGAGCTTCAACTTTAGCTATATCAGCTTTCCGGTGAATAGTGCTCGGTGTTTATTGATAAGAGCTATCAATTTTCTTCTTTGCTGCGGATTCAATTTTCTAAATTCAGATTTGCATCTATTTTAAAATCTTCCAGGGGGATCGAGAGATCTTTTCCTGGCAAAGTTATAATTTCTCCAAATTCTTCATTTTCAAATATCACTTCAACTGCATTAACGCTAGCTTGGAATTTGCGAATTTTATTTGCATGAACATGTTTGATCTTTCCATCAGGTAGTTTTACTTTATATGGATGAGGACGATTTCTCCTGGTCCAGTCCATCGTGCATAGAGTTTGTTATTTGAATCTGGTATGAGTAAATAAACTTGTTCTCTGATTTTGAGATTTTTTGGTAATGATCTCCGATTAAAGTAGTCAGCATATTTTTGTTGTTTATCACTTGCAATTAAATTGGCTTGTTCTAACCTTATTTTTAAATGCTGTAAGTAATCCACTGCCGATTCACTTAGATTAGGTGGTATAGGTATTTCTCCTGACCATGAAGACTTCAGTACTGCTAAAGGACCTCTTGGTTGTCTTCCGTACATCAGCTGAAATGGTGAGACACCCGTGGTACAGTTTGGTACTTCTCTGTATGCAATGAGCAGGTATGGGATGTGCTTATCCCAAATTCGAAGGATCAGTCCTGATGACATGATGTAACATTTGCTTGAAGGACTTGTTCCATCTTTCTACTAATCCATTTGAAGCACTGTAAGCAGGTGTAGAGAACCTAGGGTGAGAACCTAGTCTTTTCTGGAATTCTCCTTAGTTAATTTTGAAACAAAGTTACTTCTGTTTGTCACTAGCTATGTATTAGGGATTCCTGTTCTCATGAAAATCTCCAAAAGTGCGTCAAAGTGGCTTTTGCTGTCAAGCTTCCTCAGTGGAATGGCTTCTGGCCATCGGGAATGTTGATCTACCAGGACATAACACATATTTGTGTTTCCTAGCAGAGGGAGGTTCGATAGGTCCAATAACGTCGATGTTAACTGTTTCGAAAGGTAATCCTGGCCTTCTGACCGGTGTGATGGTAATCTTGTCAAACAGCTTTTCTGGACTCTTCAACTGACAATCTTTGCATGTTAACAAAAGGTTTTGACATCTTGTGCTAAACCAGGCCAAAAAAATGAATATCGTATTTGTTCCTTTGTTTTCCTTATTCCAAGATGCGCACCGAAAATGGAACTATGTGCTAATTCCAACACTTGTGCTCTTCTACTAAGCGAAAGCACTAACTGAAAAACAGTCTCTCCTAATATTTTTTCTTGGTGATGTAACAGATGATCTATAAATAAATAATTTCCTTTTTTTTCTATAGCTAGCTAGCTTCCATGCTTCTCTCAGCGAGGGACAGTTAGCTTGCTCTTCGCGTAGGCATTCAGCAGACGACAAGTTCTATGTTTACGTAAGCACTCGCCTTCTCCCCTTCCTCCTCTTCGTTTTTCTCCTCCATAAGCCATGGAGGTAGGAAGTAAGATGGAGTTGCCCTAAACAAGTTTCTCCCGTACCCTGCTCTGAAGCACCAGCGATCCTTACGTGGTGACCAAAACTTTGGGTCATTTACCATTGAGTTCAATAGGATTTGACGCGTTCGGATGTAAATATTTTGTAATTACGTCGTAAATATACATATAAATGTATATATTTTCTTTTCTACAACACTTCAGAGTCCTAAGTATATGAAAACAACATATTTTTAAACAACATTTCATTCTGAACGGAATTAAATGCTATACTTTTCACAGGACAGTTTTCTCAGAATGGTTTAATTTGAATGAAATATTTTCACAAGTTTTCGTTAATTACATTAGGAAAAAAAATTAAGGTAATTCGATTTGATTCAGTTAAGGATTACAAA